GAGGGAGTGGGATAGAAGCGGGCAGGCTGGGGTGAATGGGGCCCTGGGCTGGGTTGTGGGACAGTTGGAGCTTCTGTCAGCTTGTCTGGGGGGGCGGTCCCACCACTGTGTACACCCTGGGGGAGTCATGGGGGGCCTGTGCCCCCCAGATTTGTGTGAGGGCTACTGCTGTGAGGTGGGCTGCCACTGCAGGGTGGCGCTCCTCCTTGCTGCCTTTGTCTCAGGAGTTGCGTGCTGGCTGTGCCATGTCCCCTGCCTGCCCAGTGATGGGAGGCACAGCATGGCATAGATTTCATAGACTTTAGGGCTGGAAGGGACCTCATCAGATCATCAGGTCCAACCCCCTACCCAAGGGGCAGGATGTTAGCTGGGGTCAAATGATCCCAGCAAGATAAGCATCCAAGTCTTTCTTAAGTGTCTAGAGTAGATGCCTGCTATTCCAGGCTTTGGGGACTTAGACAGTAAAGAAGTTTTTTCTCATGTCCAGCCTAAAACAGTCTTCTGGGTGTTTGTGACAGTTAGACCTAGTTTTCCCTTGGGATGCCCTGGTGAACAGACAGTCTCCCAGTTCCTGATGCACACCCCGTATATACTTACAGGCTGCCACCAAGTCACCCCTGAGCCTTCACTTCTCCAGGCTGAAGAGTCCCATGGCTCTCAGTCTGTCCTCATAAGGCTTGCTCTCTTGTCCTCTGATAATGCATGTGGCTCTCTTCTGGACTCTCTCAAGCTTCTCCACATCCTTTCTAGAGTGCGGAGCCCAGAATTGGATGCAGTACTCCAGTTGCGGCCTCACCAAGGCTGAGTAAAGCAGGAGAATGACTTCCTGGGTCTCGCTTGAGATGTATTGGTAGACACAAACCAGAGTTTTGTTTGCTCTGCCAGCTGCAGCTCCCAAGACAAAGGCAGTGGGGTGCAGAGTCCCAGCCTGCAGCAGCAGTCTGCCTCTGCCCTGCACACAAAATCAGGGAGCACATGCCCCTCATGCCTCCCCTGAGGTACATGCAGTGGTGGGAGCCCCCCCGGACGAGCCACCCGCAGATCCGTCCCATGACCCACCCTGGCCCTGGGGCCCCATTCACCCCTGCCCCACTTACTCTGTCACCATGGGGGCCTTGATCTGCTGTCACATGCCCCTTCTCTCCCCCACGCCCTTTCCCCTTCACAGATTTGCTTGCTGGGCACTGCTCCATATGCCTCTGGGCTGTGTTCCTGGCCGCCTGCATGCTGCAGTTACATGTCTGTGCTCCGCCCAGAGCCTGTGCCTGGGCTGCCCTGCAGTCCTCTGGGCTGCCACCACTGTGCCACAGGATGGCCCAGGGGCAATGGTGACAGTGGCAGAGTGGAGCCTGGGTGTGGGCTTCAAAACCACATACCACATGTTCAATTTAACGCATTAAAAAAATTAACTTGAACAGTTATTAACATGAGATATTATATACACAAGGGAAATTATCTTAAGAGAAAGAGGCTGCTAAATGTACAATGCATCTTGTAAGTGTAGAATCAAGGCATCTAAGTGCTTGTTTACTTGTATTTGGATGACTCCTTCAGTAGTCCCCAGTTCACATAATGAGCTCTTTTTCCTTTTGAATAATTTTATTTGCATTCATCCTTATGCAATATCTACTTTTCATATAAGCAACTCTAGATTCTTCTGCAGTGATTGTCCATTTGCCTCAGGAAATGCATATTAACTATCAGAGACTGTTGGTACCTTTAAAATATAACATGACATGATCAACTATCTTTTGGGTCTAATGGGTTCCTTTAAATCTGGCTTCATTTGCTAGGCTGAGAAGACATCTGCTATCTTGACTTAGGGTTTCTCTATATATAACAAGTCTTCTGCTGGCACATAGCTATCACACCTCACACCAGAGTGCATCCCAGAGTGGCAGCTCTGTATGGCTCCACTACAACAGTTATACCAGAAGGTCCATGGTGCACTGCAGGAGGCATAACCTGTTAAAGGGGCCATGGCTACTATGGAAAAGTGTTGGCATGTCCACATACACTTCCTGATGTTTTCCCTTTGGCAGTAGAAGCCTTCTGTCACTTGCACAGCTGGTATTGCTCTGCCAAAGGAAGGGGTTCTGACACAGGGTAGTTATTAGTGTGGACACACTCCTGGTTTTGTTGGCAGAAACTGCTAGGCCATAAGGATCCTTGAAATCATCTGAGCAGGTAAAGACTGATCTTAAGTACCTTAAGAGAGGCTTGTAAAAATTAGTTAATGAAGGGTCAAGTTAAAAAATCCTTCATAGGGACTGTTACACCCATTTTGTCTTTTTTTTGTTAAGCCATCTTAAACTATGTGTGTTTATGGATAAAGAAGCAAAAGCAGCAAGACTCAGTTGGAAAGTACATCTATACAAACACAGCTCAGAATCTGTGGGAGCTGGTTAATCTAGATTTCACAGCAAGGCCCCAGTGTTTTTTGTCTATTGAAGAGAACTTCCTAATGTCTTTATAGTACAAAACCTGTCAGACAACACATGCAAAGACTTCAGCTGCTGTAGGAGGGAGCCCACTCCCTTTAACTATGTTTTAAAGCCACAGTTTTATGAAGATGTCACATAGAATTGAAAAACAGCTCCCCTGCAGATAACTTGAATTCCTAGTTTTATAATCAACATAATGGGGATTTGAGGACTTTGGCAGTAAATGCCATATTCAGGAATTGGGGAGAGGATAGAATGTATCTGTCTACCTAAAAGACACCAGAATAATCCTTGAACTGTCTGAGAGTGGGCAGAGTCTCCTAGATAAGTGCCCTCTAAGTATTGAAATCAGAACCTAAGGTGTGTCTTTCCACCAGTTCTTTTAGTCCATCAAGTCAAGTAAGACAAAACTCAGATAAATTTCAGAGCCCCTGTTTAGGATTGTCATATTAAATTCTCCCATTTCTTGGGCTCTGCATCCAAATCAGACACCCGGGTATTAGTGAAAGACTCAGAAATGTTCCCCTCTGTGGAAATCTTTAGTTAAAGTTGAATGGTTTTATACAGTGTATAATAAACCCTAAATATTCTTATGACATAGATCTTAGCACCCCATGAGAATGTGAAGTTTGACTGTTTCTTTAAGGTACAACTTCTTTGAAGCCAGCTACATGGAAGAATGCTAGCATATGGAAAAATGAAAAAAAAAAAGTCATATCTATCTGTCTTTATCATTTCTTTTTAGAACCATTTGTTTTGTTTATGGTTAAAGTCCACTGCATAATAGCAACAGCCCTGTTCAGGGATCATCAGTATGGTAAAAACATCTGCCTAATATGCTTAGTCCACAACACTCTACTGTCTCTGAACTATGAACAGGAGCCAAAAACTTCAGCTGCCATCTGTGTAGCAGCTAAAACCTCTGTCTTTTCAGTGATTATTTCTCCAGTGTTATGTACTGTCAATATAAAATCTAGCAAACTTGAAGTATGAGGACAGTGTAAAAGTTTTTTAATCAAAATAGTTACACAGACTACTGCAACTACTGTGTACTTCTCATTTTCATAATTATTTATTTTAAAGAGTAAATAAAATATTTGTTGCAATATTTCTAGTCTGGTGCACCAGATTACTACAAAATCCAGGGACTTTGAGGATAGATATGCAAAACATACTTTCCTTTTAAGATTAAAAATGCTTTCCTAACTAGTTGGCATGTTACTAGCCTTAGTTAGTTTATTCATATGCACTCTTGCATTTCTGATTAGTGAATAAACTTTCTGCGTCAAGTGGGCCTTGGAAATTGGTATTGGAAGTCTACTTTTTTGACACAGTTTTCAAAATCTCTGACTTTATTTTGCAGATGTTGCTAAATTTGCATAAGAAGAGTTGGATGGAAGGTTTAACACTTCAGGACTACAGTGAACATTGCAAACTCAATGAAACAGTAGTGAAGGAGATGTTGGAATTAGCTAAGAACTATAACAAGGTATTCATATCCTACAGTAGTAGCATGTTGGGATTGCTCTCCATTCAATTAATGCGTTTGTACGATGCATAGCAAATAAAGTGATTTTTGTGAGACTTAAATGGATTTGGCAAATAAGGCACAACTGTAGCTAAAATTACAAACCAAAACTATCTGGGTATTGAGTGCCTTAGTAACCAAGTGAAAATTAGCTGTTGCTTGTAGCTGACCACCATATTTAAAGGCTCCATCACAGTTTTTGAGCTGAAGCACCAGATTTGGCTCTAATCTAGCAAACTCTGGAGTTCTGTAACTTAACATTGATTCAGAATATTTCAGGATTGATTTTTAAAAAAAAAAAAAACAATGAATTTTTGCAGCTGTCAAGAGCTACTTGATCAGACTTCAGGAAGTACACTTTTCTTGTAGAGTAGTAGAATTGCTTAAAAATTCATCTGTTACAGTAGGTGGGTATGTAGATCTCTTAAAATATATAGAGCCTGACTATATACTGTGTTAAGCATAAAACTCATGTAGCATACTACAGAATCAGGATTATAGTTATCTGTAGCATAAATTAATGGTATTTACATTTTAAAAATTGCAAATGACTGAGGTTTGCTCTGCCTATGTACACAGTTACTAGAAAGATTATAGGTATAAAAGTGCTTTAAAACAAATGCATTGTAAATTCCTAACAACGAAGTTGAATATCACTTTAAATTATTTGGGTAAATAAACCTTACACAGTAAGCGTTTAAGATTAAATCAAAATAAAGAAATATCACTAAATGTATTAAAAGAAGCACACCATACATAATTAAAAATAAAACCTAGTTAGAAGTGAATGTAATGCTGTCCTTTGAATATTACATGATTACCTCCCAGTTCCTAGCTTTTTACAAGATTTTATAAATCCCAAGCATTTCTTTTTTTAATACAGTTCGGTGAATATATCTAGGATATCTGACAGTAGAACTGCTCACAAACACTCTCCCCTTGATCTCTTGCACTAATGCTTAAATAATAATTAGTGCCACCTTTGCTGAGCAGTTGAAGCATCTTTCCTTTTGACTCTCTGAAATGTGTTGTCTTTTGATTTTTAAGAGGGAATTATATTTTGAGAATCTTGTGGCTCAGGAAAAAGTAAACAAAATCTGAAACACTGACCTTTTTTGTATTTCTTTCACAGGCTGTTGAAGAAGAAGATAAGATGACACCTGAACAGCTGGCAATAAAAAATGTTGGCAAGCAGGTGAGGTGTAATGAATTATAGTGAGGTGAAATAACATGCTTTGTATATTTTTAATATTGGTTTAGTCGCTTGTATGCAGGTGATTTTTGTTCTATACCCTTGATATTTTCAACTCCCTATAAATAATGAACTTACACTTTCTGAACAAAAGGACTGTAGGTAATCAGTAAAGCAGTTACAAAATCTTTCTCTGGTTTGCAAATTATCTGTCTGATATGCAGTCTCTTATAATGAAATTTGTAGCTACAGCTAAGTAAATTTTATAAGCCACTTGATATCCTCCAGATTCTACATTTCATCCACTAAGAGAGAAAGAAAGAAGAAAAAAATCTTAATTATGCATTCCATAGAAGACAAGATCATGGAGTTTTTGTTTGTTTGTTTTTTTTAAGTCAGTCTCTGGATTCATTTATTCTATGGCTGTAGAGCCAGAAAGAGACTAAATTCACCTATAATTCACTGACAAACTGAGGATGTTTAATGCCAGCACACAAACAATAGGTATGCTAAATGCCATCATATTACCTTGTGCTTTGGAACAACAACACTCTAAAGGGCACAGTTGAAATACAAAAGAATCAAGCCCATCTTCTTGCAGTGGTTGGACATAGGACTTACAAGATATTAAATTAATTCCATACTTGGTATTGGCCAATTATTAGCCAAAGAGAGAAATCTGTAGCTGTGCGAAAAGATTAACATTGCTGAGGACAGAAACTGCTCTCAGAATTCTAATTAAAAGCAAGTGATAGCTTTAAATACATCCAAACAATTTTTCCTTGCAAGAACAAAGACAGGATTTATTTGTATGGCTGCTGTAGTAAACAGTAGAACTGTTTCAGAGGATTCTGGATTACTCGCTTGTGTCAGCTTCCAGCAGTGTGATGTCATGACTTATCTGCAATATTGCTCAGCCAATCATGCACTTTGTAGCATTCAGATCAACTGGAGGAAACAAAAGGAAAAGCTATCTTTTTAAAGGATTTATAATAGTGGTAAATATTTCTTCTCAACTGAAACCTAAGCCTTATCACATGTATAATTTATAATTTCAACTATGCTTTAAAATCATACTTTTTAAAGTTAATTCAGTGCAGAAAAACTGTTTTTCCCTTGCATGTCAGATTTTCTTACTAAAAAGAGACTTTTTGGTATATCGTTCTCAACTTGTAAAATAATTTAATGAAAACACTTCCTTCCAGTAGTTCTTTTTCCTGCTCTTGCATTTATACGCCAAACTTTATGGATGTTTAGACACAGCTACTGACATGAATATTTTCCCTTTAGTTAAAAAGATAATTTGTTGCAAACAGACAAATCTTAAAGAAATAAATGAAGCTTGCAAATGGATTATAGAAAAAGGGGTGACACTTCCATGAAATTGCATGTAATGTGGGAGAGTTTCTTTAGATCATTTCTTCTGACAGAGTAAAAATCGTGCCCAGTAACTGCCTTCTGTTGTAACTTCTTTATACTGGTTTCTGTATAAGCAAGCGATGCAAAAGAAAGAGCCATTTTTATAAAATCACTTATCTACTTTACACTATACTGTGAATATTAATTAGCTAGGTTAACTTCTACAAAGGTGTATGTATCTATTTAAATTTACTACTGTAGCAATCCTGTTGTCTTGGGCAAATGCATAATATTGATCTGAGAGAGAATTCGCTACATAAATAATACAGTTTATCTGGACTTAGGTTCATATTTTGCAACTATTTAAGCATGTACTTAACTTTTTGAAGTTAGTGTACTCAAAGAATATTACTTAAGTAGAGGGGTAAGTCTTTGTATCATTTGGCTCTAAATCACAAAGTACTATATCAATGGTAAGGGTAAAATCTTGTTGAAATAAATAATATAACATGATTGAATTGAGAGAGGCCAGAATTTCACCTGAAGTACTACTAAATAAATTACATGGTACAGATGTATTTATTTACATTGATACAGTAGATCTCCCATGTCAAATTGTAGACATTTATGGTGAATTTTCATTTTAAGTGGTACAAATCTCATCTGCAGAAAAATGGTTCAGATATGTATTTGAACTTTTTATCTTTTTAACTTTTGCAGTAACAAAAATGTACAAAAGCATTCAAATGCATTTAAAGATCTACCTTAACTTCACAAAAACAAGATTAGAGATGCAACTAAAATTGTGTTGCTAACATGTTCTGTGCTTAGCTATTGCTGGTCTCATAAAGTAGCACCGTACATGCAAAAACTTATATACAGTTTACTATCTAGGTTCAGCCACTGAAGCAATTTTAACTCTGAATTCCCTTCTATTGCAGCGTAGTCAGTCCTAAAGTACTGGTTTACTTATTATTCTTAGCTCTGAGGCAACTATGATATTAAGGGTGAAATCCTGGCTCCATTGAATTTTGACTTCACTTAAGTCAAGATTTTGTATGGAATTGTATAAAAACTGTTTTCATTTTATACTTCCAGAATTGGAGAGACAAATTAACCCATGCATATTTACTCTGACCCACACAATGGCTCTTTTTGGATTATGTTAAGGATTAACAAGGTCAGAGTCATGAAACCTCAGAATCCAAGCTATATACATTATTTGAAGGAAGGAAAACAGTGACTTTACAGGCTGGGAACATCATTTCAGTGTCCTCAAGTGGAACTGAAATGCATGTTCCTTCCTGGAGCATTTCACATCTTAATGATTTCTCTAATAGCGTGTTTTATGTTTCAGGACCCCAAACGTCATTTAGAAGAACATGTGGATGTGCTGATGACTTCCAATATTGTCCAGTGTTTAGCAGCTATGTTGGATACAGTTGTATTTAAATAATGAATCTACTGTTGGAGTGCTTTCTGTGTGTATTTGTCTGTTGTTAACACTCAGAAATCAGGGACTGCTGAAGATATATATGGTTAAATGAATGGTATCATTTTCAGCACTATAACAACTTTCAGTCTCTGTTGTGCAATTGCTTCTGTTTTTGTCAGGGTCTTACAGATTCCACAGCAGTTCAAGAACACAGAGGAGGCAAACTGTATTAAGTTTTTTTCATTTAATATTTGGGGGAAAAATCAGTAGTACATATATATTTTGATTGTTGCTACATAATAAAAATACACTTACAATCTATCTAATTTTTGGAAGGTGTTTTTCTGTCAATCGGTAGGGTGGATAGATATCAGTATAGAATGCTCATGCAGGTAAAAACTTGGTTTCCTATGTCTTGTCAAGAGATATTTTAATAAGTGTGGTAAATAACACTTCAAATTACAGGAGACTTGCTTGAATTACTGAGTAACCTAGAAAAATAAAAACACGTACTTTGTCAGTAGTACTGTGTTCAAAAAAACATTGTAAAACATTATTGTAAGCATTTTCACTGCCTGAAAAAAATAAAATGACTGGAAGTCAGTCATAAAGACAAGTCCTTAGCAATGAGAGGAGGTTAAATTAAATCTCAAGTCCCACAGAAGAGTCCCAGTTGCAAAAAGAGACTTCTCAAGCCCCTTCCTGCTCTCAGGTTGTGGGAACACTCACTCAAAGGAATTATCTTTGTGCATTTACCTTATTTAAACCTAGCTCCTGTCTCAGTAAATCCAAGCAGGTGGTTTTCAGTATTAGGCAGCTACAGAGACCAGACTCACTAATGTTCCTCTTACACTTTTGTTCTCACACATTATTCTGTTTAACTAATGAAGTGATTTTAAAAAAATGTAAATACAATTCACAGGTTCAGACAGATGACTATTTTAAACTCCTGCTAGATTTGAGTCTTTAAAAGACAGAATTACAAGGGGGACTTGACTGGTGTGATTGGTAAAGCCTAGCTTTGCCTCATCATTCCATTTTATGTCTGTAGGTGGCAAGTATTCCATGCAGTGCAAACTGTAGTCTGTTGTTCACTAGTTTATTACAAGGCATTTTTTATGCTTTTTTTGTGCCTGTTCAGATGTTGACCTTTAAGTTAGATAATATTTACAAACAGAACTCTGTCAAATTATACTTAATACACATCTAATTCAAATAGAAATAAATGTAGATGTTTGCAAACTTACTGATTATGAGCCTCAAAAGAAGGCAACAGAACAACAGGCAAGGAGGAAGGGAAAAACACAAAGTTCCTGATAAGTAGCACCAATGTATCAGGTGTTTAATATTTGGGGAGTGAGGATGCTTTACAGCGGGTAACTGAAGGAAGATTTATTTTCAAGAAGCAGCATATCTGCTGTAGCCTGGGCTTGCACCACAGCACCCAAGTCCTGTGTGTAATGCAGCCTGGCTACGCATTGTTTCTTTTATAAGGATGCTGCATAAACCTCTCAAATTCTGTTTTCTGTCATGTTCTAGTTGTTACTTTATCTACTAAGCATTTTAAGAACCCAAAAAGAAAGGGTTGCATAGCTGTTTGAGAGTAGGATGCATGTAGTGATATGAAGGGCAGAAGGGACCAGACTCTTGTCCAGAAGAGAGCACCCAAGCTTCATTAGGACCTGACCACCCTGAGGAGTCACGGAGCATGCCTTTTGCAATTCTTCTCCAGCCCTTTTCACATTTTTTCTAAAAATTGATTAGCCTACCAATACCTATCCATCAGTGATGCCTGCTTAACAAAAGGACAAAATAAAGGTTTTTTTCAGAATACATAAGTACTATTGCATAATTCCCAGTTTGCTGCAGATTCATTACATCTCTGCAATGTAAATTGATATGCCATGGTTGAATGTACTACATGAAGTGTGTATTACAGTCTTTCCCCTATGTCTCCTGGAGATTTTGCCTTGTCTCCTGATCTTTCAGCTGGTGCTATCATCATCATAGCAGTTTTGCACTGGAGAATTTGTATTAGTGAAGGAAATGAGCACCAAGAACTATAGCAGCTTAGGATGTAACTAGCTCTGCTCAGAAAATTGCTATATATTCCTGGAAAACAGGATGCAGGGCGTGGAAAATAGTATGCACTAACCAACCAGCCATTCAACGATCAAGACTAACACAGTAGTGTGCATGACTGACATTTGTGAAAGATTTCATTAGAAATGTTTTTATGGAGAGGCTTTAGGACTATTTCCACTGTAAAACATGGACTTCCTAGGACAATAACTGAGTTCACAGCTGACTATCTCAAATACATTTACTGAATCTTGTGCTTTAGTTACAAAACCAAAACCTGAAACATTATCAAATGTTTCATTAGCATTTATTTACAAATTAATGTAATGTGTGGCTGCATCCTATGTAAGCTTAAAACCTTTTTATATGGCTTTTCACTGTATACATACAATAATACTTGAAGAAACCAGGTAGTTGTAATCTTTTTCAGATTTTGAAATGTTAGGGTTTTTTTTAAATGAACTAAAATCCATTTGAAGACAACATTTTAAAAAGGTATTATTGGATTTTTTTTAAAGGGGGGTTTAAATTTACTTTTCTGTTTTCCTTCTGATGTTTAGAACAGTTCTTTTGATTGGTGGGAGAGCACAGAACCAAATTTGCTCACTTCTACTCTCCTCTATTTACTCTCTTTATGATCTTGGTCTTTGCCACTAGTTGGAGCTTTGTTGCTGACCTCTTTGGTAACTCATTTCTTGTGGAGCTATCATCTGAGCTGTGACAGTGCAAAGGATGGCAACATGGTCTAGTTAACTGAATGAAGAACTATCAAATGCCCCAGGTCATACTAAAAATACAAGACAAATTATTTCCACTATAGGATTTGGGGGAGTAAGGTGGGTGTCCCTTAAGAGCAAAGCTTTCTTTGATCATTGTAACTGTACTTTTCCTTTGCCTTTTGGAGAGAACTGCTCTGCAGTTTCAAGTGCTTTATAATAAATTGGCATCTAGGAAGGTGCGGAAGAGAAGCAGGAGACCACCTGGTCTTTCTAGTTAACTACATTTGGTTTTTCCACCGAATATTCGTTTGGTTACCTACAGAATATTTGCTACGATGTTTTTGTCTCCTGTATTGAAGGTTCAGAGGGCACCACCAAGTTGGCAGCAGCAGGGTTGATCCAACAAGGCTGCTGAGGCCCAGCTTCCACTATATGTGGCACGTCTGCTAGGGTGCAGCCCGGCTGCAGAGGGAAGTCAGGGGCCTTCACTCCTTCCCCGCCTGGTTTCTTACTAGCGGCCAAGACTTCGGTTCCTGGTGGTGAACGAGTGGGGGAGAGGGACAGAGCTGGTCGTTGAAGCAGCGGGGGGACGTAATCAGGTGCTCACCGGGAGGACTGCACGAGCCCCGTCCTGGCCGCACGGGCCGAAAGCGGAGCAGCGTCTGCGCGCGCGGCCCGCGAGGGTCTAGCCCGCTGCAGCTTGGCAGGGGGCGGCCGACGACCCCGCGCGGCC